GCATACGAAACGAATCCAACAACAAAATACATGGAAAATACAAAAAACGCTCACTCGCTCACTCACACATTCAATCGTTTGCTCGATTGCATTCTACAATGTATGTATATGTATACTTGTATTGTAATAAACATTTGTAGTGATTTAAAATGAGAGAAGAAAAAAATTACATTTTTTCATGTATTTCATACGGTGTACGATACATGTCTTCACAGGGCATCTATGTTTTCTCAATGTTTTTCAATTTTCTCCGGTAAACGTATTTTCAAGCAAAAACAACATCGTTTATGACAAATATTTAAATCAATTATCGTACTTTGCCATTATCAATCACAATTGCACACATTTTCTGGCCTTTGACTGTAATGTTGAATAAAATCACCTTTGAAGCACGATCACTGTTAAAAAAAATGAACGATTTGTTGTTGTTCATTTTTCATTTGATGACATAATCCATTTGAGTATATGATAAGAAAAATAACATAGGAAAATAGAAAGAGAATAATTGAAAAACCATAAAAAAATGTATGAATTTAAAAAATTAAATAAATTGAGAGAAAAAATCAACAAACTGCTTGAATTTGATTTTGATTTTATTTAGTTTTATAAATTTGAACAAGAGGTGGCACCACTATATGATGGTATACTTTTCATATATTGGGAACATATGTCACACTTACAAACACATATATATTATATCATACGTCACATTATTTTGACAGAAAATGAATTGTTTTAAAATTCATACAGATTTTAATAAATGAAGATAATCAACATCAAATTGCAATAACTAATAAAATAAAAGAGGTTGTTAGCAATCATTATATTTTGTTCAATTGTGTGTAAAAGGCAACAAGCTTGAAAAAAAATAAAAAGATTTCGCATCACTGGATTTTGATTGAGATAGTGCATTTGTGCAGACTTTAGTGAAGACATTGTGGATAGAAAAAATAAAAGAGCAAACATAAGTAAGCGGATATTTGTGCAAAATAAAAAGTATGAGAATTATTTATGAACTATTTTGTTAAAAATTGTTTCAGTAATAACTAATAAGTGCTTTCTGTTTTATTCGGTTTTAAAATAAAAATTTGTTACAGTAAATATAATTGCGATAAGAAAAAGTGATATGCACCAATACAATACGGTTTCAATTCCATCCAAACTTGATCAATTACACATTTTATGCATTCGTCTGACGAATTTGATCACAAATGTAAAGTGAGAATTGAACAGTACCGATTCTACATATGTTAATTCTGAATGGTTCATAATTTATGCGAAATCCTTATGCAATCGCATTTTATTCAAGTCATAATATCCACATTTTCTGCATATTTAAAGAGGAACCAAATTATTAGTAATTTTCTATAAATATTTGGTCTGAAGCGATGAAATCTTTCTCTCCTTCGTTCTAGCTCATTCTCTTTGTTTTTTGCTCTCTGTATCGCGCTCTCTTGCTTTTTTGAGGGCAACAATAAGACGAAAATATTATACAAAAAAAATGTGCAAAAAACGGCCGTTTAAAAACATCGCACGTAAAAACTGACCAAACAGATACAAATTGTGCTTATTTTAGTTCATTGTTTTGATAATCATTTTCTTTTTTCTTTCATGCTCATAATGTGTTTAAAGCCGTTTTATGAATGTTTTTTTTTTCCTCACTTGTCACTTTCAAATTCGGTAACTAAATAACGATAAATCGATAAACGTATTCTGTTTAGACGAAAAAGATATTTTTTTCATTTTTTTGACGATTTTATCAAATCAATTTATATTTTTTTTTCTTCTATTCATTTTTAGATAATATGTCAGGAAATTTTGTATTTGTTGCCCGAGAGGAAGGTGGCGAACCCATGAGGTTCCCATTGGGAGAAGATGGAACCGTGTCATTTTCAACTTTGCGGGCAATGTATCCACGGGTAATTTGCCTCGTGTACCGCATTGAAGACGAAAATTTCATCAGTGTGGTTCCTGTAAATGAAAGCGGCTTTCATCCACCGCATGACGGGTGGGGGCAGAGAATTTACTGGTGTATATTCTCTGAAGAGGACCGAAACAACAAACGAAAATGTGATGCAACAACATCGGTGTCTTCAGTTGCCAAAGCCAATCGACAAGAAATAACACCGGAAACGCTGAGTAATTTCAAATCGTTCTCACTTGAAAAATATTACAAAACGATATATAATTGATTCCTTTTTTTTCTCTTTTTTTCAATTGTATTTAGCTGGTGTGATTGATCAGATCGATCGTTCAGAAGCTGCAACGCCAACCATGTCAAACAACCAACATGAACGAGAGGCTCAGTACACATTAACATCATCCCCTACAATGATATATGTTACAGCTTTATCAAGAATAGGATTTAATTGGGAGAGAATCTTTTTCAAATTAGGTTTGGCATTGTTCACTGTTATCTTTGCAGTTGTTTTGAATGCAGTTAATAAAGACCTTGAGAAGCATATTACCACATTCAATACTTTCGTAACTATGTTCGCATGTGTCGGGTCATGTTTATGTGGTTTGGATATTGTCTACTTGAATCGGGGAAGAATCAAGGAACCCGTGGCAAATCGATGGAGAAAATTCCGTGGCGTAAATGGAGAACAATCCGCCACTCATGAATGAAAAAAAAATTATGTTATCCAATTCGTCAAAAAATCTGATTTTTTCTATTTTTCAGTACTTTTTGTAATGTTACTTTGATTACTTCGTTAATGTTAATCCGATGAATGTGTTACTATGGACAAAACGAAAAAATTGTTTGATTCATTTCGATTTTAGAACTCATTTGTTTGGAAAATTTTCTAAGCGTTCTCTCTTACTTTGTAATCCAAACTTTAAAAAAAATTAGTAGTAAAATAATGAGTACATCACAGCGGACGGCAGTACGCGCGAGTGACGAAACCACATTAGTGTGTTGAAAAGTCGACTTGCTATATATACACGTAATGTCCAAATAATTTCCAAATTCTGACCTGGAAGGCCTTCAGCCGCGATTGTTGTATGGTTGGAAAGCCCTTGGGCCATAGATCAAGAAAAAAAAAAATTCGAAAATCGGTCCACCTGTCTTCAAAATATGGTCCTTTCAAGAAAAGGGTCAAAATTCAGTTTTATGGCCATAGATGGCACTAAATGAGGTCGTCGACCCCTGAAACATCGATATTCGTATTCTAGAGCTCAATACCTTTCCAACGACCCCCTAACCGTCAAAATCGATCAATCTTTTCGAAAAATTACGCATTTTGAAAATTTCATATGATTTTCCTATAAAAGTCATTTGGTATGTGTATGTGTCTGTGCGCAATTTTGCGTACTTGTTTTTGATCTTTTTGAAACTTTCTGTGATTAAAGTACACAAAAAACTAAGACTTTTTTGTTCGGGCACTTTTCGGTATGGCCGCCATGTTGGCCATGGCCGGCCTCTAAAAGTCACTTTTCGACTTTTTTTCCTATGGTCACCGAAGCGCCATGACTTGACACCCCCACCGGACATATGCATATCATTGGAAAGGTCTTGAAGTGAGTTTTGAATATACAAATGTATATTAAGTTTATATTCATAGTACACAGAAAATATATCTACCAACTATTTTCGTCACAAAATTGATATCAGAAATTTTGTGTTTCAAATTTTGGTATCGTCACTCGTTCTTCACCTCGATAGAGGTTTTTAATTTGATAGCCATTTACAATGCCTTTGTTTTAGTGAATATTTATTCAAACCGTTTCGGAACGGTGTTTTGTTCTTCCATCAGAGATCTTTGGTAATTAACACTATGATAAATATCTGAAAATATGTGATGATTTCGATTGTACTGTATATTTTTTTTCTAATGAATATTTTGCCTATTACCATATGATCCATGGAAGGAATAAAGCCAGTTTAAATGAAACTTAAACCGTACTGGGTTTTACCTATCTAATTGAGTATCACCTTCTCCGAACGTTAAATTATCTTTATACTTTTGTTTCGTTTCTTTAGGTATTTACAATCCGAGTCCCTGGCATCACCTCAAAGAGGATTAAATCCATGTATCACCGTGGTAATCGCTTATGTACATGTACATGTAAATATCATAATAAAATATTCTAAAAAGAATTAACTGTATTGTATTTTATTTGGCAAAAAAATCGCTAATTAGGTCGGAACAAAATTCATTTTGCTGTCAACAAGCCATAAATTCCCTTTATTTTCCATGCATCGGAAACTGTCTCAACAAACATTGGAATTAAAACATAATTTGTTTCATATGTGTAAATAATATTTATTAATATATAGAATTTTCATACTAAAGAGATATGACGAATTAAGAAGAAAACAGAGCCAAGTCGCGATTTGATAGATTTTGAGTTAGCCCGACAGAACCTTTTATTTATTCATAAACTATCATAAGAACAAACAAAAATTCAAAAAAATTGGTTAATTTATTGTATTTCCGCATGCCGATTGGTGCTATGTAAACAAAATATCACTCTTGTTCACGTAAAAAGAATGTAAGTCACTCAAAATGTATGGCCGTACACCATAGACGCGAAGAAGAAGTATACGAATGATCGAACAAGACACACACACACACACACATACACATAATCGGTTTTTGCGGCTATAAACCAAGTTCATCGAACACAGTTTAAGATCACAAAACAGGTTGGTTTCTATTCACTTGCCTATCTAATTATATGAAGAAGGACAAAGAAAGAAAATCAACGACATGTACAGACATGATTTTTGCATATCAGTTTTTTCTTCATTTATGCGAATGGTTTGTTTATTTTAATGCTCGATCACACACATATGACTTTAAAAAATATACAATTTCATTCTTTAATACGCTATTCCGTTTGCTGTACATCTACCATATAACAATAAGTTAGGTGGACAATATTTTGTTCGCTGCCGTGTCGTCCCTCTTATCATTTCAGCGGTTTGTCTTATTCGTTGCAAACAATGTTCAACAAACGAAATCTTCATTTTTTAATTTTTATCGCATTGAGATTCAAGTTTAAAAGCAACATTTATCCATCTGCATGCATAACAATGTATTATGAACAACAACAACAACAATGACTGAAGCGATGCAAATAATCATATATCATCGCTATAGTTTACGCTACACACACACACACACACACATACAATTGTTTCTTCTAGTTTCTTTCTCCCACTCTCTCTCACATGTATATACTCGTTTCTTCGATTCACGAAGAAGCATAAATCATCGTCTCGTACATTTGCTTTATATTTCATCACATAATGAAATAGCATGAATTACATGGCTGCAATTGTATGACTAATTGTAGTTTTTAACCTTGAACGAGTTCATTGAACGAATACATTACTGTCGCGATAGTGAACGTTTGTTCATGTTATCGTTGTTGCTATCGCTACTATTGTGTCTGTTTACATTTTTATATTCATCAATAATTCGAATTATTTTATGTAAGAATGTTCGATTTGATATTCAATTTAATGCAAATAGTTCGATTTCATGTTAATATTTCGATTTTTGTTTAGATTTCATGAAAATAATTCGATTTTAGGTTCAATTTCATGAAAAAATAGTTCGATTTGAGGTTCGATTTCATGAAAATAGTTCGATTTGAGGCTCGATTTCATGAAAACAGTTCGATTTGAGGTTCGATTTCCTAAAAACACACTCGATTCGAGGTTCCATTATAATTAAATGTCAAACATCTGGTGATACAACTGGATCAATCGAATTGTAATTTTTGTTCGGTGCGTTCCGAAAGGAACGGTTCATATTGATATACCAAAATGGAATTACGCCCCGTGAAAAACGTTAATATCGATCTGAGTAACAATGATGTCACCGTCCTCTAATACAATTGAAGATGTCCCTAGTGTTGAGCTACAAGTGCGTGAAAATGCATTTAATAGACGAATAAACACTTTCGCTATTGTAAACAATGGACATATTGATATTGAAATATTTCTAAGCGATGCTTTTTATATATATCGCTCGGAACTTACGAAAAATATTGAAAATTATATTAACGTGAAGTCAATGACTGTATTCGTAGCAGAGTTTGAAAAAAAAATGTAAACACAGATGAAAATAATGATTCTTACGATGATGATGATACTGGCGGTAATCATAGTCATGAGTTAACGGAGAAAGAGACTATATATCTCCCAACGCACACACGGAAGCTTGATATAAACGTAGACCTACATGAACATTTTCGAAAACAGATCGTTCAAGAAATAGTGGAAAGTGTAGAACAAGTTACATTCCGCGGTTCTGGATTTACGCTCGCCCGCATAATCGAATTGAATGTTCACGTCAACTTATATAACCCATTACACGGTTCATCGTATATTCAAACTCCTAAAAAACTACGGTATAAAAAAGCAATTATCAACGTACAAAATGAACATGATGAAATGTGCTTCAAATGGGCTATTTTATCTGCTTTACACCCGGTAACTGATCATCCAGAGCGAGTTCGTCATTATTATCAATATGAGAACGAATTGAATTTTGATGGAATCGATTTTCCCGTTCGCTTCAACCAAATCGACAAATTTGTTCGACAAAACAACAATATATCGATAAATTTATACTATTACGATGATGAAAATGAGGGTCGCATATGTCCATTACGTGTGAGTAATGAAGTTAAGCAGCATCATATTCATTTGCTGCTAATCAAAAACAGAGAAAGTGTTAATAAAATAGCTAGCACTTCCAACATGATTAAGGAGATCTACAATAATGATTCAATTCGAACTCATTACTGTTGGATAAAAAATTTGAGCCGTCTTGTCAGCAGTCAGCTAAGTAATCATAAATCTCGATATTTCATTTGCGATCGATGCCTAATATTTTATGATACAAATGAAAAATTATCGAAACATATTGCAAAATGTACAAACGAGTGTAGCATTGAAATGCCCGATCAAACATGGAAATGGATGAAATTTGACAACTATGAACATCAGCTGAAAGCACCATTTGTTATATACGCTGATACTGAAGCGTATCTCAAGGAGCTCAGTATGGAAGATCAGAAACGTATATTTAGTGAGGAATGTGCAACAAGCGCATATCAGCAGCATCATATGTACAGCGTTGGATATTACTTTAAATGTGGATTTGACGACTCATTTTCATATTACCGAGGCAGCGGCAATCGTACCGATTGCGTCGAAAGGTTCATCGCAGAATTGAAAGAAATTGCTCATGGAGTTGCAAGGTTATTTGATAAAATAACATACCAATGCTACCGCTAACTGAAGATGAGAGATATGCATTCCACGATCCAAATGCATTATGTACAATTTGTGGTGATATTTTTGAAGCAAATGATATTAGAGTACATGATCACTGTCATCTCACCGGTCGATATAGAGGTCCAGCCCATCAAGCATGCAACTTACAGTTCCAAGATAGCCACGTTGTACCCGTTATTATGCACAATTTGTCGGGTTACGACTCACATTTATTCATAAAAGAGTTGGCAGCAAATAATATTATGAATGGAGATGTTTCAATTATTCCAGCTAATGCGGAACAATACATCGCTTTCACAAAAGTAGTGACAGGGAGTACACGCGGGCTTAATACGAGAGAAAACGTAAAATTTAAATTCATTGATTCATGCCGATTCATGCCTGCATCTCTAGCTGAGTTAGCATCACTACTACCAGCAGATAAAAAACAAATATTGTATAACGAATGTGAGAAAAATGGCTACACACCAGAACAAATCGCTATGCTTGAACGTAAAGGCGTTTTTCCTTATGAATATGTGAGCGGTATGGAGCAGCTGAAGGAGGCAAATCTACCATCAAAGGAAGATTTTTACAGCCAACTTAGTGGAGAAGGAATATCGGAAGACGATTACCAATTTGCTCACGATATCTGGCGGAAATTCAACTGTAAAACGCTCGGAGACTATTCCGAACTATATCTAAAGACTGATGTGCTACTATTGGCCGACGTATTTGAAAATTTTCGAAATACATGCTATACAATTTACAGTTTGGATCCGGCAAACTACTATACAGCTCCAGGTCTTTCGTGGGATGCCATGCTCAAATATACCGGAGTGAGAATTGAACTGTTAACTGATGTGGAAATGTTGCTGTTCATCGAACGTGGAATTCGCGGTGGCATAAGTCAGTGCAGTAAACGTCAAGTCAAAGCCAACCATAAATACATGGGAGATGTATACAATGATGAGAAACCGTCAAATTATTTAATGTATTTAGATGGTAAATAATATTTTATTTGTCCAGTTTATCTTTAATCAAATTCATGGTCTTTTAGAATCTAATTTCATTTTGTTTCATTCACAATAATAGCAAATAATCTGTATGGACATGCAATGTCACAACCATTACCGCTGAGGGATTTCAAATGGATTGATGACAAAATTGTAAAGACATCTTTTTCGAATGCAGATGAAATAGTCAAATTAGCTGACGATTCGGAATATGGCTATATATTCGAGGTGGATCTACAATATCCAAAAAATTTACATGCTACACATAATGATTTTCCATTTTGTGCTGAAAAGCGAACGCTTCCGCAAAAAGTGTTCGATATTATCGGCATAAAACCGAATAAAATCGATAAATTATTGTTAACGTTATACGATAAAGAAAATTATATCATTCATTATCGCATGCTCAAATTAGCATTACAACACGGTCTAGTATTGAAAAAAGTACATCGAGTACTTCAATTCGAACAAAGTTGCTGGTTAAAGCCCTACGTCGATATCAACACACAACTACGTACACAAGCTACCAACGACTTTGAAAAGTCGTTTTTTAAATATATGATAAACTCCGTCTTTGGTAAAACGATGGAGAATCTGCGTTTACGTGCAGATATCAAACTTGTCAACAAGTGGGGTGGGCGATGTGGTGCAAGCATGTTAATTGCTCGACCAAATTTCAAGAAATGCAAGATTCTCAATGAAGATTTAGCAGTAATTGAGTTACAGAAAACTCATATTAAAATGAATAAACCAATAATTATCGGTATGTCCATCTTAGACATATCGAAAATAACGATGTACAGTTTTCTGTACGACTTTTTAAAACCTAAATATGGAAAAAATTGTACGGTTGCCTATACAGACACCGACTCTTTTATACTTTCCGTTCAAACAGATGATTTCTATAATGACATGAAGCAACACTTGAATCGCTACGATACAAGCGATTATACGGAAAACAATGTTTTCCAAATACCTCGAAGCAATAAAAAAGTACCCGGTCTTTTCAAAGATGAATTAAACGGAGAGATTTTAGCAGAATTTGTCGGTCTACGTGCAAAATGCTACGCTGTACTACCGTTTACAGCTAAAATGGAAAAATGTGAATGTCCAGAAAGAGCTGTCGCACCTCGCGTTATAACAGATAGTGACTATGTTGACTGCATCGAAAAGAATTGTAACATCGATAAAAAATCCAAAGTTATTAAAAAGTCTAAAGGTATCAAAAAGAATATAGTGAAACGTAAAATTGACTGTATCGAGAAAAATTGTAATATTTTACGTGAACAGCATAACCTTCGCTCGAAATCACATCAAATATTCACAATTAAACAGAAAAAAATTGCTTTAAATCCGTTCGACGATAAGCGTTACCTTATTCGTTCGAATGGTATTGATACGCTAGCTTGGGGTCATCATGAAATTAGTGAGATTGAGAAAATTTATTGTTAGGTGAAACGTAAATTTTCATATAATTTTAAGCAAAAATAGTAAATTATATACAAAAATAAGACAGTTTTCATTGATTTTCATAGAAGAGTAACATTTTAGTTAAAATTATGAAAGTCTCTGTATAATAATTCAAAGTAAAATGTTTCAAATCAAACCTATATGGTTGCTTTATAATATATACACATAAATATGAAATGAAAAGATTTGTTTTTTTGTTGAAAAAAATACCGTGTTTGTTTTATTTATCTGTTTTCATGATATGTTACAATTTTCAATGTATACTTTATTCTTATAACGATTCCTCAATGTAGCCACCGCTCCGTAATTTAGAAAATAATTTCAACATTTCACTCAATGATTGAGTCGGAACATACAAATTGTCGCATACGCGTCGCAATTTCCTACATATTTCATTGACATCTTCTTCATCTTCCTCGCTCTCATCTTCCTCCTCCTCGTCATCATCATATTCGTCAGTAGTAGTATCATAGTCATCATGTTCATTCTTATTCATTTCAGTCGATGGTTTATACAGCTTGAGTTGACGGAAAATTGGCAATTCATGCGATTCTTTCTTAACTCTCTCATCACTATGAAAATTATCATCGACTTCATCATCAATCTCGTCCTCATTAGATGTATTGTTTGATCGATTTGATTCATTATCACTCTCGCTCGCACTCGATGGTTGATTAAAAGTTCCACTTCTTTTCCTGGGCTGCAGCATTTCATCATATTTACGTTTTTTTAATAATGAAATCGTAGATTTAGCAACGCCATATTCTTTTGCTAAACGATTACCATTCACTCCATCATTCAATTTAGCTAAAATTTCAGCCTTTTGAATTGTATTCAACCGCATGATGTGATAATAAAGATAACTTCACTGTTTGAATGTTCAACTTGAACTAACTTGTATCACTAGATGTTTGTTATTTAAATAAAATCGAACTATTTGCATGAATTTGAACCTCAAATCGAACTATTTACATGAAATCAAACCTCAAAGCGAACTATTTTCATGAAATCTAAACAAAAATCGAAATATTTGCATGAAATCATATACATTCTTTTCTCTTCTTTTATATTCATTCTTCCGTCCATTCATCCATCTATCTATTCACTCAATTACGAAATTAAATAATCAATTCTAAATCTTAATAATCAATTTCCAATCCAACATTAATTCCTCGATTACATGTGCACAAGTGGATGGCTCTAAGAAGAGACACATTGCGAATGGTTTACATTAATGCCATCTGTTGGCTTGGAGAGATGGGAGAGATTGTGACATTTTTGACGTAATGTATTTTACGTATTCATGTTTTTGGCAAGTCATTTGTCAATTTGGAACGTCCTGTTTCAATATCAATCAAATCACCAATCCATTTGTTAGGTTACATAAAATATTTAAAAACAAACATAAAACAATACACAGCTTTTGGTAAAAAACAAAATAAAGAGATAAAATAAACTTAAAGAATAAATTACTGATAAAAAATATATCAGTCTAATATTTATTTCTCACCATTTTTATAACGCTATTTACAGCGACTTCAAAATGCGAAAAATGACGAAATGTCATAAATCTAAATTGACAAATGACTTGTCAAAAACATGAATACGTAAAATACATTACGTAAATTTGGTTGGAGACGTCGGAGAAAAATAATATTTCATCATTTTCATCATAAAAAAAAATATAGTTTTGTTCAAAAATTCAAATAAAATCAAATTTAAAAAATATATTATTATTATAAAGGAAAAATATATTACTTAAAATAAAAATAAATAATAAATATGTGCATTTGTGTTACGTTACATAGAGCAAATTTGTTTACATGCTAGAGATGTAAATTTAGTTGAGGGATGTCAGGTATGATGGCGCTGATTAGCGAGACTCGCATAAAAAAGTCTCCAATCTCATATATGTGTCATCCACGTGCATGTGCAAAAGAGTCTGAAAACATCTATTGATTATATGTGCATTCTATCAATCGATTGGACCTCAAATATATTCACATGGAATAGTTTGTTTACTATTTCACGATGTTTTTTTCTCATTGAAGAGCTTTGTTCTTTATGCTTCCGTTGCTGCCGTCAATATTTCTTTGTACGAAGCAAAGAAAGAAAGTAAGAAAAAAAAACAGCGGCACACTCAACACGATTCCAACAAGAAAATACATGGCAAGCATATCTGTTGACATATATTTTCAGGTGCACTATGTATATAGTATGTGATGGAACATGTGAGCTATCACATATGAAAAAGAGAGAAGAGAAGAATGAGAGGATGTGAGAGAGAGAGAGAAAGTCATTTTTTTTCTTTTATGTGACAGCATTTATTCCTATTGTATTGTTTTCTCTTCGAAAAGTGAACGAAAGGCCATGAGAGTGTGAGACAGAGAGGTGTTGTCGATGATTCATGTTTCTTCGTGTATCGAATACAATCATGTGAGAGAGAAATTAGAAGAAACAATTGTGTGTGTGTGTGTGTGTGTGTGTGTTTTTTTTTTTTTTTTTTTTTGCTATTGCCAGGATGTGGAATCTTCCAAAGATACCAGTGATGTTGTATTGGTATGCACGATTCGCCGACAGGGAAAGCGCCTACGTACTAAACCACACCCTTGCACACTCTTCTACCACTCTCCCCACGGAACTGCCGTTAGGTATTACATCGTGGGGTTGGTTAGCAATTATGCTAGACTCTGTATTTCTCTTTCTCTTCTTTCTTTTTCCGCTATGCGGAGCTCTTTTTGTACATTTCTTACAAAAATGTGGATATTTTCCCACTTTTCTTCCGTTTCGAGCATATGTGTGTGTGTGTGTATGTGTGTGTGTGTGTGTGTGTGTGTGTGTGTGTGTGTGTGTGTGCGTGTATGTAATGAAATGTAATCGAGAATGCGTTCATCTGCATGTTCGAGTGACCTATCTAGTGAGTAAATGTATGAATATTCGAGGAATCGTGTAATCAATTGAGTAGTGAAAGAGAGAGAGAGATGTAGTATACAATGAATGTGTGAGTGAGCGAGTGAGCGTTTTTTTGTATTTTCCATGTATTTTGTTGTTGGATTCGTTTCGTATGC